GTAACTTACGACCATGATTCCTAAGTAAAATGAAATGAATATTCATCACAGTCTTCCGTTTATCTGATCGACTGATAATTTTTTCTTACTCAGAAGTCTATTTAGTGTATTAATCTGTATGCATTGCACACAGTTTTATTGATTTAATGGTTCTTTCTTGTAGAATTTTGTTCACATTTAAAATGATTAGCTTTCTACGTGTGTGTCCTATTCTATTCATGATCTTTTCGTGATTTTCGATATCGAGATGAAAGTATCGACATAATGTAACTGGTAATTTCATAATATAAGGAATAAAGACGATGCTTTCATGCTTCGAACGTTTGCCTATCAAGAAGAATGAGTGGATCCTTAACAGCCAGTGTGAAACCTTTATGTAACATAAAAATTCTTAGCAGTGAAAGGGAAAACCTTTTCAGGGTGGGTGTGGGTGAAAGAAAGAGGCGCACCTACCCACACTCACACGGCTCAAATATCCAATCTCATCTATGCATGTACCAAGTACAAGTACCTCAGGGTCAGTTAGACTCGTTTAGGCTCTGACTGAGCTCAAGCGGGTGTGGGTGCGCGTGTTAACGTAGTTATTCTTAATCCACACCCACACCCACACTCCACCCACACACACCCCGCACCCACACCCACACCTACATCCCACACCCACATCCTGAAATATTTAATATTGCTCATATGAAAAAGTTGCTCATTCGTGTTAGCACATAAACTATTCATGAATTATAGGCAGTTTATGCGTAAGACCACTCAAAGTTTTTCAAACTTAAAAACAATTGATTTCACTACATGAGACGGAGAATCATTCTTGTTAGATCATAAATAATAACTGACTTTCGTATCGAACCGTAATATTAGTTAAAAATGACAACACTGCGATTTTTCTAATATATTCAGTTGCAGAACATTCTTTCAGACATTGAAAATAGTTCATGTCGATATAATTTCGTGTGACACATGCCATGTGTATGGAATGTTTTGATGTAACAATTATTTTAATATTTTTGTTATGCATTCTATCTTTTGATGACTGATTAAAAAATTCTAAGTCTAATTTACAGGTAATATGACATTATCCCATCATGAAATTAATTTTTTTACGAATGAGCTTTTCTTAATACGTTAGCGGATGTAAAAAAGACGATTTTGAATCCTTCTGCATCACTTTGAAGCTTATTCAACAACGTGTGAGTGTCGGTGAATTGTTATGAAATGCACACCCACACCTTATGTAGAATGAAGCGTCAAAAGTCGCGCAGAATAAATACAAATATCACGCTAATGGGTCATGCCTTCGAGATATCAACGAATATGTTTTGATGGCGATGAATGCTTTTGAACTATATGAAAACATGCATTAATAAGAATCAAAAGCTTTAGACTATTGACAGTTTTCGTCACTCGGTAGCGAAATCTTTTGGATTACGGAGAAATGTGTCTGAATAAGAACAAAAAATTTCAGAAAAATGAATAGTGCGTCAGGTTATCAATGAATTTCTTCTAGATTTTGACTAATATCTTCGGGTGACGAAAAAAACGTTCTGGTGACTTTTGAATGTGTTTGATGAGCACTATAAAAGTTTCTGAGATCGGTCCATGTATTCGGTTAATGCTCAAGCGCTTCGGGCTGGTGATGAATACTTTTGAGTAACCGTCAAGACTTTTAGATCACTGAGAAATTTGTGAGATAGATGCCGAAAGTGTTTAGGCAGCTCATTAATTTGCTGGCTTTATCGGAAAAAAAAACATCGGTTCAATCATCCATTTCACAGAGTTAAACAAAATAGCCTCTGACCACTAATACATGTGTCAGAAACGCGAAAAGCTGTATGCAGCTTGTCCATGTGAGGATAGCGAGAAAACGCTGCATCCATCGAACCTTGTTTCAGTTACACGGAAAAGCACTTAAACCGTTCATACAAGTGTCATATTGACAGGAAAATTCTTCAGACCGTCAGTACATCTGTTAGGGCATCAAAAATATTTCTAAAACTGAAGCAAGTCTCACTGTTGAAGAGATAAGCTTCGATGATACAGAAATATTCAAGCGTGTGAACATAAGTATAACAGTTTAATAAGAAATACTGCTTTATTAGCACATTATTGTGTTTGATGATTTATCAATATTTGCACCATTGTATCATTTCTTAATGTTCAAATAGATGTATCTACGCATTATCTATACTTCATACCACATACATCATAAATGTTCACTTCGCTCTCTCATTCATTCATATGTATAAGGGCTCGTGAGAAGGAGCGCATAATTTAAATAATTTTGCAAATCGAATAATATAATATATAGAACAAGAGAAGCTCCTCACGAGGTTTTTCTCCTTAATAGTAGGTAACAAATAAAGCAAAATAATAATATTGTGAGCATTATTTTACACGTTCGAGTTTTTCAATTAAATGATATATTTAAAGAAAATGCGACAATTCTATACCTCAAAGTTTCTTAAAAAATGTCCTGATGGATTTTTTGGTTTTTCAACAGTGTGCCTTTTCTGTAACACCATCATATTTATTAGATTGTATTCTCTACCAACCTGTTCTAAACTATACAACTATAATGCTTTTATATCAATTTAATTTTTCACAGTCGATCGATGAGGAAAATTTTTTTGTATAGTTTTGCATAAAGAAACAGATGAGTAAGTTCAATCTACGTGACAAAGCTACAAGATTGAAGTGAAACTAGAACAACTACTAAGTTATTGTAACAATGTCTCAAGAAACCTTGAAGTATAATATTATCAATTGTTCTTTGAACAGATTGCTTAATTTCAAATATCGAACATCTAGCAACGTAGGAAGAACGTACAGGAAATAACTTACGAAGTAAATAGGTTTTAATGAAAAAAGTACGGAAAAATGAGAAGAAATCATTAGAAGATAAGAAAACCCGAGAAAAATTCATTTGTTAAAAATCGAGACGAAAACTAAAAACTAGAAGTGTTAAGCTGTTTAAAACTTATGGATTCATCAAAATTGATTTTTCAGGTTACAGCTATGGGTTCCTGACGACGATATTAGGGATTCAAAAATATCCAAAGCTAAACTACTCTATGTGTTGAATAATTTTAGATCTATTCCAAGTTCGTACTTAGGGTGTATGATTTATTCTGTTTCTCTTCTACTAACTCCACGAGTATATCTTATAACTTTTGAGCCTATTTCAACAAAACTTCGAAAATGATAATCAACAAAAACTAGTCGTTTCTTAACATCATCCTGTGTAAAATGAAATTAGAAACAGAAGGCAATATGTCTTCATATTAGTTGTACATTTTCTTTATTATTTAAGTCTATGTTACATGAAGACATATAGAAAGCATAGTAAATAGCTAAGACGGAAGATAACTAAAAGATTGATTGAATAAAGTCAATTATAAAATCGACAGATGATCAGTATATATCTTTATACAGAGTTCAAATTACATATTCATACTATGTGAAACTTTTTCATCTACTCGCAGGAGATATGTTAGGAATTGTGTTTCGATAATCATATCACTCTATTACAGTATGACCATCTTCCAAAATAGTTTTCATGCCTGTCGTAAGTCATTTACAATCGATAGCATGAAAACATGTATTTTTCTAGTTGATTTTTAAGGATTGTAACACTCTCAAAGTTTTTCAAACCTTAAAACTTATAAAACACTGAGTAAAACTGATAACAATGCAGTTATTTAAAACAATACTACTCGTCTTAATACGTTCATAGTTTATTAACACATAGTATTTTGCGGTCTTTTTTACCTGGGCGTATTAAAATGCGTAACAATAAAGCAGAAAAGCTTTGTACCATGCAGCCACGCGTTATGGTCAGATGAAGAGGAATACGAATAGCTCTGGGCAGCAAAACTATTAGTAAGAATGAAGGATAAATGCCGTGTCTCGCATGAGACTTTGGTGAACATAGTCAAAGGCTTTAGAGTTAATTATGACATCTTTTCTTGCTGGAGAAGTAGCCATTAAGCAAAACTAAGTGTTTAAAAAACCAGTAGAATCTCGTAAGTGAACATTTGTCATAGGCTACATCTTGTTAACAATTTCATCTGCTTAATACATGATCAATTGAAGATAATAGTATAATACTAGAGAATTTTTATGCCATCATAGCTAATGATGAACATCTAAGTCAAAATTGTAATAAGTACTGAGATGAAAAACAATTTAAATTTCGTAGTCTCATAAATATATAGCATAGTTCTGCTCGAGAAATCGAGAGATGAGTATTTTAACAAAAGTTATATTCTATGATTCTTTTCGAAATCTACAAAGAATAGCTTTATATACGAAGTCTTCCATCTAGTGAAGATAGAACGCTTTCAAAAAAGAAGTAGTCTTCGTCGAACACATCTTCCGCAAAACTATTTCAGTTTTTTATGTGCTATTTTCAATACAAACAGTCACCCATTGTATATTACTCTAGGAAAAATTATTTATTTACATGCTTCAGAACAGATGGAGTCGTCAGTAACAGATGTCCATATATCCCATAACATCTTTTCTGTTCTTGAAATAAAATGAGGGTGTGGGTGTGGGTATGGATGTAGGGTGTGTGGGTGTGGGTCTCCTCTCGTTCTGCACCCACACCCTTCTGATCATTGTTCGTGGTGGCAGTCGTATTCGTGATTTTCAATGAAGCGGATAATGTTCTTATCGAGATCATTTTACGATCGCTGCCCACTTACTCACATCTATTAGAAATTATCTTGTTATTGTCTGCCGGTGATCTCATTTGAAGTCAGAATGAAAGAAACTTCACAAAAAATGACACGAATCGTTGAAGAATTTCCAGATTTTCATAAAATGTTTTTCTAGAAAAAAATCGCTTGAGGGTGAGTGTTGGTTGGGCTGTGACTATGTAGAGAGGTGTGCAGGTCGATGAAGAGAAGAACCATACTCACCTTCAAATAGTTTGAAAGATCACTTTGTTGTAGTGGAATTCAAAGTATCGACTCTGCTATTTAGATTAAATCATGACTAACCAAAAACCGATTGAAATCGTTACACTTGGACGTCCATTTCGCTTGGGTATGTTATATGATATTCGTAGTGACATGCTAATCACTGGAGCTACACTATGGAATAAGGAGACATTAGATAAGAATACAGATAAAAGTAATCAACCATATACCGATTATGAAGTTATAGCTACAGATTCATTACAAGATAAAGCACATGCATTGGGAGTTGAAGGGAGTTTAAAATTAAGTCTTCTGGGTGGTTTAGTTAACGTTTCTGGTTCTGCTAAATATGCTGAAGATTCTCAAAAAACGAATCACGTAACACGTCTTACACTAAAATATACAACAACAACGGAGTTTGAGCAATTAACAATGCAACATCTTGGTAAAGGTAATTTAAATCACCCGGATTTACATGATGCCGATATAGCAACTCATGTGGTTACTGGTATACTCTATGGTGCTGAAGCATTCTTTGTATTCGATCGTACAGTATCGGAAGAAGAAAATAAAACAGAAGTTGCAGGCACATTACAGGCTATGATTAAGAAAATACCAAAATGTGAAATAGAAGCGGATGTTACGTTAGACTTAAATGACAATGAAAAGAAATGTATTAATAATTTAAATTGTAAATTTTATGGTGACTTTCGATTGAAAAAAAATCCTAGTACATTTGAAGACGCTATTAAACTCTACAACGAATTACCAGAACTCTTGGGTGAAGGTCAAAAAAATGTGATACCAAAAAAAGTTTGGCTTTATCCATTGCATTTGTTAGATAGCAAAGCTATGAAAATCGTTAGAGATATTTCAACGAGTACTATCGATTATTCAATAGGCTTTCTTGAAAAGCTTCATTCGTTAGAAATACGAGCATCAGATTTAACAAAAAGTACAGTTTTTACATATTTTAATCATATGCGAAAACATTTGTTAGATTTTGTTGCTCGATTATCAGAATTCGAACGTGATTTAAAAAAGAAGATGGTAAATCTTTTGCCAAAAATACGGGGTGCTGGTGCTGAAGAATCAGATCTACTTGGTTTATTTAAAGAAGTTGATTCGTCGCCATTTAATGAGCGAACACTAACATCATGGCTTGAAGATAAAGAAAAAGAAGTTGCTCTCATTAAAACTTTTACTGCAGCTTTAACGAAAGATAAAAATTTATATATTACAGTTAAATCATCATCACTTGACGACGTTATTGGTGATATTGATTATGATTATATTTTATGTCTTTCATTTTGTTTTAATGTACAAAATGAACCACAACTCACCAATATGCACAATCATCTTCATAAAGATAAATTAATGAGTCAACAAGAATCTTCAGCATGGTTCAAAGATCATAATATTTTAAGTAAAATTCGTACTAATTTAAGACAGTTTATTGAATTCGCTTCGGCCAATATCACTAACAAAAATATAAGATTTGTTGTCAATGAAGAGTATTCACTTGACGGTGTCAAACGAGCTGAAGTTATACTGTACGATAATGGATCAATAAAGAAAGGTTTTATAATGCCAAGTAAACCAGATGCGCCATATGCAAAAACTGTAACTCACAATAGTGTAACGCTTGAATGGACAGATGTGCAAAGTGGATCGGAACAAGTTAAAAAATATAAAATCATGTATCGGAAACATAGTAGTGATAATCACGAAAAATGGAATGAAGTTTTGACAAATAATAACAGTAAAATTATGTGTATATCAAATTTGCCATCGAAAACGGCATTTGTATTCAAAGTACAATCTATAACTGGAATAGGTCTTAGCCCAGTTACTGATGTTAGTGAATTGGTTGAAACCCTTGGGATGAGTAAGTTGAACTTTTCTGACACACGATTCTAAAGAAGTATTGAAATATAAGGTGAGATATTTGGACCTTTCCAGACCATGACAGACCTGTCGTAAGAAGGAAAGAAAAGGAGCAGAATAAAAAAGATCAAGAGTGAAAGATGAAATGTCAAAGGTGAGCGAACCTTTCTAAAAGAGTTTCAGAAGGTTTCAGATATTCCAAGAATCGACTACATCTTTCAAGAACCAGTTGTATGTTTAGAGAAATGAGCAGGCTTATCAAATTCAAATTTTAGAAATCAGAAGCTTTTCAGGAGATTTATTTTTCTAAATCAGGAGAAAAATCAGTAGATTTTTCTGTGAATTTCGAGAACTATTCTGTGGTTTCTATCTGATAAGGTCCAACTTTTTGCTCGTATATACACTTTTTCCTTTTCCAAAACAAGGTGGCAATGAGAAAATATTCTAATGAGTGAATTAAAATTACGAAAGGATGATAGTTTTCAAAAGTTTTTTTTTTTATTAGTTATTCCATAGGCAATTATTAGAATTTACAAAACATAGAAGATCAAAGAAAACGCATCAAATAGTATAAATCAACACATAAACAAAATGCATAATCCATTTACTAAAATATCTGTGACTAGAATCCCTTGAGTTAGGCCGAAACCTGGATCCTCATCTGCTCGAGCTTGGACAGAATCCGGGCGGGTTTGAGTTCGGAAAAAGTTTGGATCTGATCGATAATAATTGTATAAGAAATGTGTAGTATATGCTAATCAACAAATACAAAAAACTGCAAGAAAATATCTGATATCTTCAGAGTGACTATCCAATTTCGATTAAACCTTTCCTCACAGTAAAAGATCAATAATAAGTGCAACCTTGCATTGAGAAACAATGCAGTGGATGCAATAGAAAGCGCCTTACATTAATCAGTTTTTTTCGAACATTCGAAATATAACTAGTACCTTTATGACAAAAAATGTCTGGTTTTCATGGTTTCGAGCTAAAAACCCTAAAATACTACGATCAATGTTTTCCCGGACTTTTAAAACTATAAAAATCTAATCTCAAATCCTTAAATCCGTTTTGGTTTTCTAGAAATTCTTTTAATTAAAAGTTATAAAGAAAAATGGGATATAACTGAAGACCTCTGTGGAAACTTTGTGTACTTGGACATAACAAAAGAACCGGGTTCTTCCATTATGGGGAGAGGCGTAGAAAATTTTATTGAGAGTATCAAAGTCGGGTTAGACCAGATTAGAGTCTGCGTAGGGAAAATTTCAAAATATCATATCCAATTCGGGTTCGCGTTGAAAAATTTTGAACCTGACGGACTCTATTCATGGGTGTGGGTGCAGAACGAGAGGAGACCCACACGCTACACTTTCATCGTTTTTGAAACAATGAATCGTCCGAATGATATTGTTAAGATCACTCAGATTCCAATAAATCCTCTTATAATAGAAGAAAAATAAGTGTCAAGTCAAAACTCAACGTTCAGAAAGAATAAAGATAATCACTTTGTACCAGTTCGTTTTTTAATGATCAACATTCGATCATTGTCAAAATAAATATTAAATAAATGAGTTTTCGCGAAAAATAAAATTTTCATTTATTGAAAATCTATCAGTCATCTAGTTAAAAGAGACGATTGTTATTATTCATATCAGAGATAAAGGAGACAGTCAAAAAGTTATCGGGTCTCCGTCCCGTCTCATGAAAAATAATTCGAAAGGCAATTTTTTTTAATTTTCGAAAAGCCACATTAAATACATACCACCACTAATTGGCATGCAATTGGTAGTTCTGCACACTTTTAACTAGATAAAGACAGTTCTCATTATTATTGATTTACATAAGAGTAAAATGTTTCTCTTGATTTGAGTGTAAATGGGAGAATTTTACTAATAGAAACGGCTTGCACAAAGCTAGATTCTATGATTCAGCTTGGCATTGAGACGGTTAGAAAAGAATCTACTTATTTTTAAGAAATAACTTTATAACATCAGCTTCTTAAAATCACGAAATTTTTTTTTTTGACACAATCCATAGAGTATCCTATAGTTTCGAGATGTCCTGTGCATAGAGTTCTTCGACTTGATTGTTTTACCAAACGATGCAGCATTAAAACCTCGACTAAAACTTGAAAAGACTTATTTCTATAGAACGATAAGGAGATAAGTTAAACGAAAAATACTTAACACCGAGAAACGGGCTAACTTTCTAAACTGAACAACTATTTTATCCAAGTACTCTCATGGAGTAGAATCAATCAACCTTCGACATTTGTATCTACTTAACTCTGTTTGAGAAATTCGAAAATTTCCAGCTGTTTCAATCTGTAGTTCAAGAACTTCTGGAAAAGGTCTGATAAAGAAGCCAAAATAGTATCTATTGAACTCGGATTAGTTTCAAAATAGTGAAAACCGATTCCTATATCATGTTCATCAAATGAAATTTTGCACTATGTTCGATTTTTCAATGTTCAACTAGATGTCGACGAACTCTTAACCGTATAACGAGCAAGAGAACATTTCAATAAACTTAAAAACATCTCTATATTCGTTTCGTTCCCTTCCGAATTGTTTGAAACTCGGCATTTTTTTTAAGGAAAAATAACCTAGATTGTTTGTCTATTTCTACCAGAGATGTCCATCGCGGCTGAAAATCTGCCGCTGCCGCGCCGCGGCCTTAGAAAAAAAAAGCTGCCGCACCGCTGCCGCGCCGCGGCGGTTTATAAAAAAATGTTGCCGCGACGCTGCCGCGCCGCGATGACTTATAAAAGAAACGCTGCCGCGATGAATTATAAAATAAACGTGCCGCCACCGCGCCGCTGCCGCGACGATTTTCAAAAAAGTGTTTCTAATTTCACTGCTGTGACTATATTTGACCAGAGATATGGGTACTAGTCCATCAGATTTATTCAATATCAGGGCGTTTCATTTGTAAATCGTGAAATTCCATTAAATTCATACAGTTTTTCAATGTCCTCCAAAAAAATCCTGCCGCTGCCGCGCCGCTGCCGCGATGGTTTTTTAAAAAACCTGCCGCTACCGCGCCGCTGCCGCGATGACTTTTAAAAAAATCTGCCGCTACCGCGCCGCTGCCGCGGTGATTTTTTTTAAAAACCTGCCGCTGCCGCGCCGCCACCGCCACCGCGGCAGCGGCAGCGGCAGCGGCGGCGGCGCGGCAGCGCCGCGATGGACATCTCTGATTTCTACTAGTTAAGGGGCCCCAATCAAGAAACTCGATTTTCGTGAACAAAAGTCATTTTTTAGGTAAATACGTGAACACATGCTTTTTTTGAACAACTTTTGATAGGAGTAAGATAGAGAGCTGCAGTTTTCATCGTTATGGACAAGTGCTAAAAGAGTTTTAGCAAAAAGTATAAAATAACCAACAATCAGATCATTAGATATCAATTGTATGGGAGCAGAGAAAAGAGAAAATTTACGCATACACTTCATTTTACATATAATAAGTTAAGATTCTGAGGTTTCATCAATGTAGATTTTTATATAAAATAGAATAGCATATTTCTTATGAGTTACTAGTAAATACTGACCATCATTATCTCTTTTTAAAAAAGTTGCAGACATGCAAGTTAATAAAAAAAATTAATTTGTTATTCTTCTGTCTTTATAACGTTGTTCAATGGTGTGACGAACATAAAGACGATTTTATGAGTGTCATCTATCGTGATATGCTTCGTGTGAGAACAACTGAATGTACGTCGATATGAGCTTTGATTGACATGTAATATATTTATGCTTTACCTCAGTTTTCAGGAATAATAGAAGGACTAAATTTTAAAAAAAGAAAACGTTGGTGTTTTTCTCAAAATTGATTTTTTTGGTACTAATCGAACTACGGACAAATGTTATTTCCATATACTTCAAGTTAAAAAGTTGTATTGTTTTTTAATCAGTAGATAGATACATAGTCCTTCAGGTGAGAGAAAGGAATTTTCTAATTAATCAGCAATGCTAGAGAACCCTTATCTGAAGTAGTGAGGAGTTGTCGTTCAAATAAAACTAACCCAAACTCTGCAGCATGAAATATATATAGTGAAAAATTTGTGGGTGTAGATGTGGATATGTCTTCAAACCTGAAACACTCGTACTTGATAGTGGAGATGACATTTTTCATTATGTATACGTAGAAGGCGAGACTATTCCAAAATCAATGTTCAACAAGTCAATCGAATGCATTGTTCAATTTTTCTCATTCTCTGTAACATATCGGAGGAGGGGGGAGAAAGGAGATTTTTGATCAATTTAATTTAATTTCTATGGAAAACAATATAATTCAAAGAAATGAGAATGAAAACCAAAAAGTCGCACACTTCAACGCCACGCATAAAATAAAGAAAAGAAAAACTAAGAGTTTCTCAACAGCACAAACAAAATATCTTTCTTCAATGAGTCGATTTCTAAAATATCACTGATTCTGTTTCACTAAAGATGAAACATACGAAAAAGTAAAAAACAATCTAATTAGATTGCGTAGAAAAAGAAAAAAAACAAAGAAAATTGCAAAATACTAGAAAAACTAACTGTTCCTATGCATGAGAATAATTTAAATGTATATAAACGATTAAAATAAGTATAAAAAGAACTAACAAGAAAAGTACTTTGCCGAAAATTTTCTTCACATTTCATAATTTATCATCATACATCAAAAGTGAAACTATTATTATTGTATAATTGTCATGAAGATCTTCTATAAAAGTATATCGGAGTGTACGTTTAATTTTTCAACTTTACATTAATGCATCATGCTATTTTCAGTTATTCACTTAATTTATTTTCGTAAAGACAAAATAATAAGTTCTTGCACGACATAGAAAAGTAAAACAGGGAAATAGTACTCAGACATTTTTCATAAAAGAAAGGCTTTTGCGACGGCACATACAACGAAGTGGCAACAGAAATTGTACAAGGAAAATATAGGGAATATGTTGCACTTCTAAAAAACAAGCAAGAACTTTTACATTTAACAATCAATTTTTGGGACAGCACCGTTGCAAAATTCACTATCCTATCGTT